TAAATATATATTTACATTTGTCTTTGACCTTGACAGGTAAAGGCCTTAGTATCTGGGACATGTTCACGTCAGACAGCAGTCACGTGACCGGAGGTGGGGACGCCAAACAGTCAGCAGACACCTACCACCACGTCGACGATGACGTGACTTTGCTCAAAAACCTCGGGGTACTTCACGTTTGGTTTTGTTTGTTTACGTATTGTTGTTGTTGCTATTGCAGTTGTTGTTTTTGTAGTTGTTTTTGCTTTTGTTCTTTGTTTTCTAAAACAGCACCTGGACATGGATGGCTGGTGCCTCTATAAATAAATCATTGATGGTCTTTGTTTTCTCAAAGACCTCGGGATACGTTCCACTTTTTTGGTTCGAGTGTGCCGCCATATTGCCTTCGGTAATATACAGGTAGGCATAATTATGTGTCCGCTACATTCATAAAGAGAAAATCCTTGTATTTTCTTTTTCCAATAAAGAAATATTCCCCTCTGCAGACGCACTGGTCATCATCAGACATTGACGATTGAACTATTATCATTATTGTTTGGTGGGTGAGTAAGTAGGTAGGTAAGTAGGTAAGTGGGTAGGTAGGTAGGTAGGTAGGTAGGTAGGTAGGTAGGTAGGTGGGTAGGTAACATGACAAGTGATTTTGCATCCGCGACCGTAAACAAAAAAGAATTAAACTGTTTTAACAATTTTACTTCAAATTTTTCAGGTGGGCAGCTATAAATTCTCCATCTCATGGCCTCGAATTTTCCCCAACGGCACGAAAGACAATGTGAACCAAGCAGGTGTCAAGTTTTACAACACTCTGATTGACAAGCTCTTGGCCAATCAGATCACGCCATTTGTCAGCCTGTACTACTGGGACCTGCCCCAAGACCTACAGGACAAAGGCGGTTGGTCCAAAGACGAGTCGGTCACGTGGTTCGGCGACTATGCTGACTTCTGCTTCAAGACTTTTGGCGACAGGGTGAGAAGAAGAAGAAGAAGAAGAAGAAGAAGAAGAAGAAGAAGAAGAAGAAGAAGAAGAAGAAGAAGAAGAAGAAGAAGAAGAAGAAGAAGAAGAAG